GACTGCAGAGCAAGCATGGCTGATGGTTTTGGGTTTGTGGGGTTTTGTTGTTGTTGTTTGGGTTTTCGTTTTTGTTTTTTTGTAAACGTTGTCCAGGTCTCATAACCATCCTGTTCTTCCCAAAGTTCTACCTCCTCTCTAAATAATGAATTTAGCCCTCCCAAACGTAGCTTCGGTTCATATCATTCAGTATTAAATTCCATTCTGATTCTTGTCATTAAACCCAATCATGGTTTTAAGATATTTACATATCCCTGCCATCCCATCCTCACCCTTTAAAGCCTATGATTTTGTCATTTCATGGTTTTCTTTCAACTAAATTTTTAAACATAACTGGTAAGAAATTACTATCTCAAAGAGAAACTGTTAAGTGTAGGGTCTGAATTAGATTTCGTTCCAGTGAAATTTGCCAATTAGGTACATGAACTTAGGAAAATTTCTTCCCCTATGCCTCAAAATCTGCTCATCTATAAAAACAGAAAATAATGGCTACTTCAGAGGATTGGGTTTTTTGAGGAACTCAGATGATGGATTTGAAGCCCTCTGAAGCACACAGCCTGACAGTAGGCATTCAACATACTGTAGCTATTATCCTCACTACAGTATCAAAAGCTTGTAACGAGGGGTAGCATACACTAACTTTTACCATCAGGCTGCAGAATTTTAGACATCCAAGATGATGCCGAAAGCTGAAAGACACAAACTGCCTTCCTGAGGAGGGTAGAGGAACCGGCTCACTACTTCGTAGTCTCACCTCCTCTACCTGAAGGAAGAATCTGGAAACAGTGGCTAATGTCATCTTGCCCCCTGGTAGTCTGTGTGTTCAAGAGGCGCTGGCCTTGCTCCCTTGGGACCTCTTGGGTCACGTCTCTCATTCTGGAAAGGGGAAGGTGTAGAAAAGGGAAGTCACCGAAATGCAAAACCTGGTACCAGATAACCTATTCTGCCCCCGACTACCGGTCCTGCCTGGGTGAGCTGCCGGGTTGTTTTGCAGGATTTTCAGGCGCTACCTCCAGGTGTTTGTCAGCGCGCAGAGACGGCGGAGGAGGGTGAGCTCAGCCTTGAAACTGAAAGGCAGATGGTCAGGGGCGGGGGGTGGGGAGATGGCCATGCGCGTCAGCGCTTTGGCCAAAGGACAGACAGAACAGCGGTCTGCGAGTGTGCACGTGGGGGTGAGGGGCGAGGGGCGGGAGTCAGGATCCAGGAGGACACTGCGGGGATGCCGAGCATTTCTCTGCACTCTCAAGAAGGCTCCCCGCTTCCTTCCCCGCTGCAGCGCCCTGAGCCCGCGAGCGGGGAAGGGTCCTTCCGTGATTGGTGCCTTCCCCGATCGCACCTCTGAGACTCAGCAGCTAATCTCGGAGCCGAAGCGAGTGCTGCAAGCGGACACACCCGCTTCGCGGGAAGCCTCGGCCGCCCGGCAGAGAGCAAGCTAAGTATCTGCTGGGCGAGCCCCCTCCCGTCCGCACCCCCGCGCCGTTCCTGAGAGCCGGAAGCGCGCCCCCTCCCCGCCGTAGGCCGTGGGTGGCGCATGCTCTGTGTGAGGGGGCGGGTCACGGATCCCGCCGGAAGCATTCTCTCCCAGGCGGCGTTTCCTTCCTGTGTGAGGCTGGCTGAGGGCTTCTGCTGCTTCAGTGTCCGCTCCGGGGTGAGTAGCGGGGTCCTCGAGGGACGGGCGCGGGGTCCCGCTGAGCCCCCTTGGGGACCGGCTGGGACCTGGGAAGCCGAGCAGGAGAGGTCACCGCGCCTTCCTCCCACGCCCCACCTCGGTGCCGCCCCCCGGCGTCCCGCAGCCCTTGGTATCCCTCGGATTAACCTCCAAGGGCGTCCCGGGCCTCGCCTTGGCTTCCGGCCCGGCCTAGGCCTTTAGGTCTCCGTTAGCGCTACCCCCCTGACTGATGGCACTTGCGAGGGGACCTGTGGAGGCAGCCGGGGCGCTGCGGGGGCTTGAAGGCGGCCCGGGAGACCTCGGCACCGGGGGTCCTCCGCGGAGGCGGCCGGATGGAGCCGGGTCTGACTGTCGTCCCCGGCGCTGCCACCGCCTAGTGCAGACGCGGAGGCGGTTCTTAAGGCCCGGGCACGCTTTCGCAGAGGATGGTGCTGTCCCTAATAACCTGTCCTTTATGTGAAGGTTGGCAGGCATTGTCACAGGCTGTGTCCTGCGGCCTCGTTGCCTGAGAAACTGGGACTCGGGTTGAGAAAAACTTTTTGCATCCCGGCGGTGAATTAGGACAGAAACACTAGACTCTCGGCCCCTCACCTGTCAGTCGATTGCTCAGTGACGAGGTGGTTCGATTTCCAAAAGTTTTCTGCTCTGAAACGGAGAACTCTTTCAGTGAAACATGGTTGGGATCATGTTTGCCTAACGAATAACTATGAATTTGCAGCGTTTTGCCCTGCTTCCTAGTTGTACATAAGACTGTCTGTGTTTATGCGCATATTTGTGTATTCATTTGGTTGATCGTAACGCCTGTGCACGATTGAAATCCATGCCCTGCCGTGCTACTTACATGCAGCTTTGGTTGTGTTTTCTGCTGTAATGGTACGGCTCCTGCAACGGCCTTCCATTGCAGGTGTATCAATGTCGTATGAATGATAGATGAGTGCACAATAAAGTATATACAGTTACAACCTACAAGTAGAAGTTTCAGTTTCATTTCAGGATTTCAAAGTCATTGTAAAAGAAGGGCTACTGTTTTAGAGGTGGCCACAGGTCTAGAGTACTCTACTACAGGCACTAATTTCAATACAGGAATATATGCAGCTAACAGAGGTTTTATGTCATGGTATTCCCTGTAGGAATAGAAAGTGTCATGGTCTCTTCGCCCGGGATGTACTGAAAAATTGCCCTAGTTGTTCGTGTAGTGCAGCGAACGTCCAGCAGATGGCGGTTTTATCACTACTAACTCAAACTTTTCAGTAAAGGAAATCATTTTATTCAGGTATCACTAGTTTTCACAGATTAGGTTAATAAAACCTTGATATTTGCCTACTGGCTTATTTTCTTTTATGAACGATATCCCCACATAATGGTCCCACATATTCCAACTGCATTTGCAAATTTACCCCGTTGGAATGAAGGTTAGATAGGTCAGTTTTCTACACACAAGAAGCGGAGTGTTGTTCACTCCTCCTTAGGAATCTGTGCTGATGGATGAAAGCACACTTCAGTTTGTTACACGGGAGATTTTAATTAGGTGGCTTCTCCTCCCTAGCTCCATTTATAGAAATATAATTAATAAGTAAAGTAAGTGTATCTTAGCCATTATTGTATGCCAGTATACAGTAGGCACTATATATACATGCTCAGTAAGTGCTTTATGGTATGAATCAGATTACTTAATGTCCCTAGTCAACGTTTCTTCATCTGAAATGAAGGCTTTCAATTATTCTGTTAAGTTGAAGTTAGATAATGTACTGTTATGAAGTAAATGGCTCCAGGTAATGGAGATAGGTGGAATCCTTGCCTTTTTTTGTTTTTTGTTTTTTTTTTTTTTTTGGGGAAATCATTCAAAAGTCTGGCAGCAATTTAGTTGGAATGAGTGAGTGGGAAGTTTTTCTGCAGTTGGAGTTTAGCTGAATAGATAATTACTGAATAGCCTCTCTTTTATGTGGAGAAGATATAAATCCCATTTGTAAGGATTTGAATTCTGGTTGAGTAGAATAGGTATTATATAAGCTCAGTAATGGGGCCAGATGAATAATACAGGCTATTAGTGTGATCTGAAAGTTTTCACGGAGCAGGGTGAAGTTGGTTTTGAAGTTTGGATAGAGTTTGACTAATCCTAGATAAAGGGGAAGAAATGGCCTATCCGGGGTACCAGGCAGATATGGTGCAGGGAAGATAACACTTGGAGTTTTCAGATACAAGTGCCTCCAGCTATAGAAGTGGTGGGAACTAAAATGTTAGGAGTTACTCTTTGGGGCTAGGTTAGGATGTCTTGAATACTTGGAAATCCTGCAAATAAAGGAAAAGCTTTGCAGAATTGTTGGAGCTATCCCAGGGGAGGGCAGGGCCGATCTTTGAGTAGTAGTGGTGAGAAGGCAAACCTAATTTTAGAGAAGGAAGGACCATAGATAGTAGTCTTTGCAGTTCCTGATTTTTACCTGTTTGTGAACTGTCTGTGCAAATTCTCATTTATTCCTTTTTCACATGAGTGCAGAATATATTCTCTCTTCCCCTCTCTCACTCGTGTAGCATTGCACTCACCATGGCCCTGTGGTATGAGAGAATAATGGCATTGTTTGAAGCTGAGATCCTATTTTCTGAAATGCAATAGTCCTATATCATCCCCACCTTAGTTTTCTGGGTAGTTACTGCCTTTGATAGCGTGTGCATGCCGCCTGCAGGCGTGTACAGCATTGATGCACCTGCTCAGACATGTATATAAAAGCAGGCATGTTGCCTCCTTTTTTCCCTTTCTTGGGTGAGTATTGTATTCTTGTGGTTCGAAAGTGTTTGAAGATTCTGTTGCTTCATATTTAGCTGGGTTGTTGGAAACAAAAGGAAGGCTCAAAAAATTTAATGTTCCTTATTAATAGAGGAAATGTCATGTTTAAATTTAAGCAGGCCTTGAAAACCTTTAGAAGCGAGTCTGAGGGAAAAGCAAGTCTGTTCACGGTTTTAATTATACTCAGAAATTACCTGCTGTACGTCGCACTTAGAAGAAAGAAATTCTTATCACACTCGTAATGGGCTGCCTTTCTTCATTTGGTTAGTGTTATAGTCATTATATCTCTAGATTTTCTGAAATAGTTATTTGAAAGCTGTTTAAAAGACTAAATACCGTAAGATTTAGTATATTCCTTCATTTTCCAAATAGAGCTTAAAATGTGTTTATTTTACATTTGAAAATTCATTTTCCCTTAAAATAGAACCCTTTAAGGTAGATATTGTTACATTTGACTAAGTTTTTCTTGCTGAGTGTAAGCTACTTACCAGTCTCCCAATTTTAATCAATCTAGTTATTACCTAGCCACATTTCTGTTTGTTTTTTAAGGCTAATCAAGATGGTACATGCTGAAGCCTTTTCTCGTCCCTTGAGTCGGAATGAAGTTGTTGGTTTAATTTTCCGTTTGACGATATTTGGTGCAGTGACATACTTCACGATCAAATGGATGGTAGATGCAATCGATCCAACTAGAAAGCAGAAAGTAGAAGCTCAGAAACAGGTAATGTTGAAATGTCTGAGGCTCACTTTCCCCTAGCTAGCTGGGGTTTGTCTGGAAAACCAAGGGCATAATAGAATTATAAACTAATGAGCAGTTTGCTGTGTGAAAATGTGTTTGAACATCGTATATGATTTTATTTCTAAAAAAGGTACTCATTACTCAACTTTCCAACTATATAAATAATTTTCAGGATGAAAAAATGGTGATGAATAAAGACATTCCAGCATTTTGTTGTGAACATGTTCATTAGAATGTTTTTGTCAGCTAATGAAGGAGTCTAGGTAAAATTTCTCAACAGAAGAAAAACAGTTTATCTTTAGTAATGGTGTACACTTGCTTTGCATGACATTTGACATGTGGATAATACTGATAAGCTGTGATCTTACACTTGCAAACTACTTTGATTTGTAATTTAAAAATTGCTAAATGTTATTAGTACAAGTAGTAGTTTTTATTTTTTTTCTGTTATTGCCTCTTGTGGTCATTTTGTTATTTGGGTGATATATTTGCTTTGGTGTCTTTTCTTACTCAAAAAAGTAAAAGCCTTCAAGGAGTCTCGCAAGCTTTTCTTGCTGTTTGAGGGCAAGATGTTCCTATTCATCGATTTTTAGATTCCTTCTGTGAGTTGGGACTGGTGTACTCAGTAAACATATGCTGAGCTCCTAGCAGATTCTTGGTGCCAAGGATAAATGATGAATAAATCTTGTTCTTTTAAAATGCTCTGGCGGCACCTGGTTGGATCAGTCAGGGGGCCTGGGTGGCTTGGTTGGCTGAGTGTCCAACTTCAGCTCAGGCCATGATCTCATGGTTTGTGGATTTGAGCCCCACGTCGGGCTCTGTGCTGACAGCTCAGAGCCTGGAGCCTGCTTCAGATTCTGTGTCTCCCCTTCTCTCTGCCCCTTTCCTGTTCGCTCTCTGTCTCTCAATAATAAATAAATGTAAAAAAAAAAATTAAAAATAAATAAATAAAATGCTTTGGGCCAGTGTGGCAACCCACGATGTGGATAGATGACTGCTTCATGGCACTGTGCATAGTTTGTATGTAGATCAGTGAGAATCAGTGTCATGAACCCTGCCTAGTGTTTGTAACCAAAAAGTGATTTGAACAGGTGTGAGTTTGTTCCCTAAATTTGATTATAAAATAGTTGACTTAAGGTCTAGGTTATATCATTAAATCAGTCATTTTAGAACTCTCTAAGAAGTCTGACCATTTCAGGTCTGTGTTTGTGTGTCTGTGTGTGTGCCTGTGTCTATGTGTGTTCACGCCTGTGTGTCTGTGTAACTAAGTATATCGTGTCAGCTGAAGTGCAGCTCTTCCCGCCAACTACACTGTGAAAGTCTTCTTAAGTCTGAGGTCACAGTGTTGATAAGTTCTACCACTTTCAGAATTTTTAAAATCAGAGACGTGGGGCGCCTGGGTGGCACAGTTGGTTAAGTGTCTGACTTCAGCTCAAGTCATGATCTTACAGTTTGTGAGTTCAAGCCTCACGGCAGGCTCTGTGCTAACAGCTCGGAGCCTGGAGCCTGCTGCGGAATCTGTGTCTCCCTCTCTCTCTGCCCCTCCCCCACTTGTGCTCTGTCTCTCAAAAATAAATAAATGTAAACAAAAAATCAGAGATGTGACTTTTTAAAAAAGTTTATTTTACTTTGAGAGAGGGAGGGAGAGGGGCAGAGAGAGAGGAGACAGAGAAGAAACCCAAGCAGGCTCCGTGTTTTCAGTACAGAGACTGATGCAAAACCCGATCCCATGAACCTTGAGATCATGATGTGATCTAAAACCAGAGTTGGACGCTCAACCTCTGAGCCACCTAGGTGCCCCAGAGATGAGACTTTTAAAGAGAATTTTTTCATTTATTTTCTTGGTTTCCAAGAGCTCCTGAAACACATATGTGGAAGATAAGGAAAGCCAAGCACAGATATTAACTAAATAATACATAAATGAATTGTTATCTTTAAGCCTTTATTGAAAACCATGTGTATAGTACTGTTCTTAATGACAGGATTATGAAGTATTAGACTCTGTATCTGTTCTCATAGTGCCCATGGTAAAAAAAGACTTGTCCATGAGAACATAAATTATAATAGCAGCATATTCTAATTGCCCAGTGAGTAGACAGAAGTTATGGAATTTAGGGAAAGCAGCGGTCACTAATGATTGAGGATGACTTTATGAAAGAATTTGGCTTCTAGAATAGGCAATGACAGTTTTATGTAGAAAGAAATCCATGAACAGAGTCATGACAGGTTTAAGAATTAGAAGGCCTGATGCAGGAACAGAAAGTAAACTGGTCAGATTGGACTAGAGGGAGCGTGCAAGTACTAGTAGAATTTGGAGGGAGGGGTAAGGGATTTAAGTGTAAAGTCAAGGAAAAGAGCTCTGCTTTTCCTTACACTGTTCTTTTTGTGAATGGACAGAGGCTGATAAAAATACCACAGCATTTTAGAAGTCCTCATCAAACAAGTAGAAGGCATGCTGTTTGCTTGGTCAGGGGCTATAGCTTCTCTGATACCCTTCATCTTTTCCTTACCTCCCTGGCCGACTGCTGACCAGGTGAAATCTTTAGCATAGGCAGTGGTAAACTACTAAACTGTCTAACTGCCTATTAAAGATTTTTGAGTAGATTGGTGATATGCAAAGCAATGTTTTAAGGCTAATTCACCTCACAATATATAGCAAGAATTGAAGTTAGGGAGACTAGAAGCAAGGTCTGTTGTTAAAATTTGCATAGACTTAACCAGACTACATTAGGCCTGGCAACAACCGAGAATAGGGGTTGACAGTGGGAATGGAATGAGTGAAATAGACCAATAAGAGTGAGTGCTGGGGCACCTGGGTGGCTCAGTCGGTTGAGCGTCGAACTTTTGATTTCAGCTCAGGTCATCATCCCAGGGTTGTGGGATCGAGCCCATATCGTGCTCCACACTGAGCATGGAGCCTGCTTAAGATCCTCTCTCTCTTTCTTCTATCTCTTCCCACCCCTCACCCCCCCACCTCCTTCCCTTCTCTCTCTGTCGCTTAAAAAAACTGAATGCAGGGTGCCTTGGTGGCTGAGTTGAGCGTCCAACTTTGGCTCAGGTCATGATCTCGCAGTTCGTGAGTTCGAGCCCTGTGTCGGGCTCTGTGCGGACAGCTCAGAGGTTGGAGCCTACTTCCAATTCTGTGACTCCCTCTCTCTCTGCCCTCCATGGCTCACAGTGTCTCTTCCTCTCAAAAATAAATAAACATTAAAAAAAGTTTTAAAAAATGAGTGCTGGAAGGACTTGTGATTATATGGGAAAAGAAAAAGGACATTTTACAAATGAATCCAAGATTTGTCTGGAATCCTCAGAGACTCCGAGTATCTTTCACAGAGGTTTAGAAACTGGTAGCTAAGGGCAAGTTTGTGGGAAGATGGTACTTGATTTGGGCATATTGACTGTGTTGCTGGTAGGGATTCAGGGAAAAATGTTCATCCAGCAGTTAAAATTGTAGGTGTAAATCTCAGTGAAAAGGTCAGTCCTTAGAGCATCCATGAGATACTCATAAGTAGTCGGATTTATTGGAAAAGTGAGTCTCACTGGGATGCAGTGGCCCCAGGGTAATTCTTATAAAAACATGTATCATTTGTGCGGTTTTCCCCAGAACACCCCTCCATTTTCCTCCTACCATCATCAGGATTTATGTGTTCCAAATTTGTTGATCGTTTTTCATGTAATTGTCGCTATGATAGATGGGGATGACTGTATTGGCAGTGATGAGGCCTCTAAAGGAGATGCTATCAAACACTGTAAACAGTAGGCCGAAGAGTAAGCCTTCATCTAGGGACTGGGAAGATGAAGTGAAGCAGGGGAAGATGAATAGGACAGTTAGGGGAACTAGATATCTGGACTGACCTTTCTTCTGAGAACAACTAAACGATCTAGATAAAATATTTCCTAAAATCTTCTTGAAGGCATTCATGAGCTAGCAAGAAAGTAAGAAATTCAGATATAGCACTGAAGGCAAAGATCGAAAAAGATAAGATGAGCTTTGATAGCCAGCTTTACTGGATTTGAGCTTCTGTTTTTATTGCTTAGAGGAGCTCAGGACACAAAGCACGGGGCCATTCCAAGGTAGAGTATCTCAGAGACCAGAGTCCCATATTTGACCCCAAAAGTCTATATACCCTCTTTGGTAATTCACCTAAAGATAAAGATGTAAGAATGATTTAAAAAGAGAAACTTAAGTCATATGCTAGTTGAAGTGACACATAGAAATAGTAGATACAGAACAACAAATAGTTGTTGAAAATAAAAGGATGGAGAATGCATATACCATACAAAGAGAAAGTTGGTTGAACAAAAATAAACTTTAAGGCAAAAATATTAGAGAAAACAAAGTTCATTACAGAATGATTAAAGGTTCAGTTCAACAAGAAATAGAGTATTTCTGTTTTTGTGTGCATCTATCAATGTGGCCTCAAAACATATAAAGCAAAAAACTGATAGAACTTAGGAGAAATAACATACCCATTATCATGGTGAGAGGTTTTGAACATTGCTTTCAGTAATTGGTAGATGAAAGGGGTTTTGGGGTGTTTTTTTTATTTGCTTGTTTGCTTTATTCCAGTATAGTAAACTTACAGTGTTATATTAGCTTCAGGTGTAAAATACAGTGATTTGTCAGTTCTATACATTACTCATTGCTCATCATTGATAAGTGTACTCTTAATCCCCCTTCACCTGTCTTACCCATTCCCTGCCCCCACCTCCTTTCTGGAAACTGTCCGTTTCTCCTCTACAGTTAAGAGTCTGTTTTTTAGTTTGTCTCCTTTTTTCTTTGTTCATTTGTTTTGTTTCTTAAATTCCACATATGGTATTTGTCTTTCTCTGATTGACTTATTCACTTGCATTATACCCTATACATCCATCCATGTTGTCACAAATGGCAAGATTTCATTCGTTTTGACAGCTAAGTAATACTGTACTCTATATATGTATACCACATCTTCTTTATCCATTTATCTATTGATGGACGCTTT